GCATACCAGCAGGAAGCAGCACATTTCAGGCTGCTCGTGCTGTGTGGGAAAATATACTAATACAAATCATGAGATTAGAAGATGTGTAAAAGAAATGAACTGACCTTTCACTGAAATGGTTACATGGATTTCAATGGGCCTAAGTACATGAAATAATGTCATATATCTGTATATATATCTGATTCTGCTCCCTGAGAGAACCCAGACTAAGACTCATACATACCATGTGGATTTTGGACATTTTCTTGAAAGCCATGAGTAGATTGAAATGGAGAATTAGTCGATGTTCAATTTCTGTTCCAGTGGAGGTCGTTTGGAGATTGTGAGGAAGTAACTCAAGACAGACCTTAAGGAGGAAACTACAAATCACCTAGGCCCATCCTAACCTTTTGGTTTAGATGTATGAATTTAAAATACCTTTGGGGTAACATTCAATTCAGCATTGGAAAGTATAAGATGCCTGTGTAACAGACAGGCTATTCAGTTAGTAACTTAGTCATTTAACATATGCATTGAGCATGTAGTATGTTTCAGTCACTGTTCTTTGTTCTAGAACCATGAGGAAATTTCAGACAAAATTCCAACCATTCTGCAATTTTATTAGGATAGCTATAATCAAAGAGACAGATAATAACAAGTGATGTTGGGTATTTTAGAGGAAATTGAACCCAAATATACTACTAGTTACAATAAAAAATGATATAGCTTCTTTGAAAATAATTGTCAGGTCCTCAAATAGTGAGAACAAACTCACTGCCACTGAGTCATTTCTAAGTCATAGTGACTTTCTGTTTCCAAGACTGAAAAAGCTTTTTGGGAACAGACAACCTCATAATTCTCCCACAGAGCAACTCATGTGTTTGTCTGCTGACCTTGTAGTTAGGCGCTCAATACCTAATCCTTGGCATCACCAGAGTTATCATGTTGTTGTGTTGTTATTAAGTGACATCAACTCAGTTCTGATGCATAATGACCCTGTGCAGTGTTTTTAAGTAGGAGCTGATGGGTTTGAACCTCCCACCTTGCAGTTAGCAATGCAATACTTATCCTATAGTACCACATTAGGACTCCAGAGTTACCATGTTGTTGTTTGCTACCAACTTGGTTCTGACTTGTAGCAGCCCTGTATAGCAGGGGTGGATAACACTACATAGAATCATTTGCTCTGGCCCTACTAAGGCAATTACAGTTCCAGGCATTGCAGTATAGCAGGCAAATTTTTTAATTGATTAATTTGTATAGCTTGAATGATGTTATAAATATCCAAATGGCTCTTGGCAGAAAAAAAGTTCTCCGCCCTGGGCGTTCTGAGATTGACTGGTGGGTTTGAATTGCCAAGCCTTGCTGCTAGCAGTTTATCCTACATTCTTATCCTACAGTGCCATACCAGGGTTACTATTGTTGGTGTTAACTATCATCAAGTCGGTTCCAACGCATATCAACCCTATATAGAGTTTCCAAGGAGCAGCTCTTGAGTTTGAACTCTTGACCTTTTGGTTAGCAGTCCAGTGCTTATCCTACAGCACCATATTTCTACTCCTACGTATACATACAAGATAAATGACAACATCTAGCAACAGAAATACTCATGCATGGATGTTTACAGCAACATTATTCTTAAGCTCCAGAAAGTAGAAACAACCCAAGTGCCCAACAATTGATGACTGGATAAATAAAATGCAATATAACTCTTACTATAGAGTACTTATTCAGCTACAAAAAAATGAAATATTGATATATGCAGAAATTCTCATGAAGATTTTCATGCTTGTGGTTCTGTAGGATTCGTACTGGACTGGTAACCTTGCTAACCACAAAGTTAGCAGTTCAAACTCACCAGCGGCTCTCTGAAACCCTATACAGGGTGGTTATGAGTCAGAACCAACTCATCTACACACAACAACTAGAACAATGATATAGAAAAGGCACCTAAATTTTAAAGAGACATATCCACAAGTGTCAGAGCAGAGTTTTCACAATTCAGGGAAAGGGCAAACAGGGAGGTCATCAAATAAAAAATACGGTGAAGGGTTTTGATCACATAAGTCTCTTCCCTGAAAATGAAAAGTGTCGCTCAAATGTATTATTTACTCTTGCTCCATTCACCAAGAAGAAATCAAAGGTAAAGCAACCCCATTTATCTTATCTGTTGCTATACCACCAGTTTCCCAGAATTGTTTCAAAGGGTCCACCAGGAACTTGACCTGGGTTCATTTCCTGCCACAACAGAATAAGGCACTGTACTGCAAGGTCTATTTGAGCCACAAGGTCAGCAATTTAAACCTACCAGCCAGTCCTTGGAAACCCTATACAGGGTCACTATGAGTCAGAACGGAATCCATGGCACTTAACAACAACAACCCTTATGAATGGAGTCCTATTGTGGTGCTGCAGGATAATGCACTGAACCACAAGGTCGATTTGAACCACAAGGTTAGCAGTTCAAACTCACCAGCCGCTCCTTGGGAATCCTAGACAGGGTCACTATGAATCAGAACGGACTTGACATCACTTTATCAGCAACAATCTTTATGTGAAATGTCTCTCCCCTTCTGTACATCAAATTCTCCTAACAGGATGAGGAATGGAGCCAGGGAAAGTTGTGTCTAGGAGGGGCTCCAATTTCTACCCCTAGTATTCACAGTGAGTGCCAAAGCTGCTCACCTTGATCCTTTTAAGAAAGTTGTTCAAACCTTCCTAGAAGACACAGACAATGTCCATCAGAATGAATCCTTTAGGTCATTACTATCTTTTAAAGGAGCTCTGGTAGATTAGCTGGGCTACTAACCACAGTCACTCCATGGAAGAAAGATGAGGGTTTCTGCTCCCATAAAGATTTACAGCCTTGGAAACAGGGTGGCTATGAGTTGGAACCGACTTGAGAGCACACAACCACCACAACTATCACTAGCGCCTCTCATGTAGCATTACCACTGGAGCCCAGCAGAGGGCAGACCTCAGCCCTTCATGTTGAATAGCCACCAGAGCCCAACCAAGGGCAGGCAGCACACATATTTGCACTTGATTCGGGTCCAGGTTTGGGGCACTAGAAGAAATGGGACACGGAGTCAAAGGATAAAGGGCCAAAAGTCCCAACCTTCTCTGATGACAGATGAAGACTGAGGCCTTGGGCTTGGAGGCACTGCACAGGTGCTTAGCTCTAGGAACAGGAAGGGCTTTGAATGGGAGTGGAGGGAATGAAGAGCCCCATGGAGAAAAGACCCAGAAAGTGGATCCCTGCTCCACACAGCACCACCACCCAGACTCAGTCAGCATCCTGTCCTTGAATCTGATGTCAGGAGTTTAGTGTGCTGCAGGAGATACAACTCCTCCATGATGACTGCCAACACTACACCACTGTGGCCTAAGAGCAATCTGGGATATGAACCATCTCAGTGAAGCCTAGAGGTGAGGCCTGGGCAAGATATGGGCCGTGACAGGGGCAGGCTTTCCCTGGTAGTAGACTTAGTTTCTTGTTCAATGAGAGAGCTTGTTCCTCGGGGCATCTGGACTCCAGTTTCTGAAGTGTGGTTCCTGGTAGTTTCACAGCTGCCACTTTGTCCTGTATGTATAATCTGTCCTGTGATTTGGAGACTTGGGCACAGGTGTCTAGCAACACCCACTTGTCCTCCCAGAAGACTTAAAGGATTGGCCATCTTCAAATCTGATGATGTAAGTGACTGCTCAGGTATGGATGAGCAGGAGTAGGCTGCCTTGGGGCTCAACTCATGGGCAGGGGCCCAAGGTACTGAAGGGATGACTACTTCCAACTACTAAGGTTCTTGGGAATTGATACATGTAGACTCGCCAGCCTTGGTCACATGCTCAGGTGTCTCTATAGACCCTGCTGAGCCACGTTTCTTCCTTCTCTCTTATAGCCTGACCCCATCACTGCCTTCCGGTAGCTGAGCTACTGTGTACAGGGACCACCCGGGGTGAACCTCAGTTAGGGTGGCCTTGGGGTCCTCAGAGGTAAGCACATCCCTCTTCTCCAAGGGGTCTGCCAGGCCTCCCTGGCCACTTGGATCCATCCCCTCAGGTTTGTCACACAAACTTTCTTTCTTTCAGAAAGATCACTTTGCTGGTGATCCTACCCATTTTTGCATTTTTCTGTACAGCCAGCGCGTCCTAATATTTGGTAGAGCTGGACGTCCGCCCACTGAGACAAGACTGCCATGATGCTTCTTCTCCATGGCAGGGATCTTCTCTGTCCCTGCACCATGAGCCTGCAGGCTACTCTGGATTCTCTTGTGGTTTATAAAAAATACAACCGTGAATGCTAGGAAAGTCCTTCTCAAGGCTGGGATAAAGTATAATGTCTTCTCTATTCTGATATATAATTCATGGGATAGTTGAAAGGCAAGGCTAGAGACATAAAATGCTTGGGGCTCCTTCTCTTCCCTCTGGGCTCAGGTACTCCCTGACTTGCCTCTGCTAGTGTTCCCAGACTCCCTGGTCACCCTGACCTGGGATGGCCTACTAGGCCTTCCCACAGTAGTCCTGGGGCTTGGTCCAGCCCCACAGACACCAAGGAACTTAATTCTCACAGATGTGGTGAGTACTTGATTATTCCCCGAAAGACAAAACAACCAAGGTCCCAGGATCGATATGCATTGTAATCTTCTGAGCTGGTGTTCAAGGTCATTTGTAACCACTGAGCTAGTGCTCAGTGATTAACAAGTTTACTTTGGGGAACTGCCAAGTAGACACAAAGAAACCTCTAGCCACAGTGAAGGGCAGGCACCTCTTGAGCCAGTCCCTACACAGGTTAGGCGCTACTGCGCCCTCTGCCGGCACCAACGCTGGCTGTTTTCTCAGTTCTCTCCCGACTGTGATGGCTCTGAAGCCGGGCAGCAGGTCAAGGGCGGCGCCTCCACGGAGGGGTGGAGCGAGCCTTGATTTAGCAGCCGGGCAAATCGCAGAACGTCCCGCGCTTCCGAATGACGTAAAGGACGCGACGAGTCACTGTGGCCGTCGGTAGTGGGCGTGGCCTCAGCGACATGGATCGCTATCTTGGCGACTTCGAGGAAGCAGGGGATGGGACCCGTCAGCAGGAGCGACACTATCAGCTGCTATCGGCGCTGCAGAGCCTGGTCAAGGAGTTGCCCAGGTGCGCGGGGTGGGGCGGGGTGGGCGGCAGTCGGGCTGAAGGACCTTCGGGCTGGGCCTCGCTTACCGTGCCTTCTGCCCATAGCTCCTTCCAGCAGCGTCTGTCTTACACTACGCTCAGCGACCTGGCCCTGGCGCTCTTGGACGGCACCGTGTTCGAGATTGTGCAAGGGCTGCTGGAAATCCAGCACCTCACCGAGAAGAGCCTGTACAACCAGCGCCTACGGCTACAGAACGACCACCGAGGTGCGCAGGCAGAACGTGGACGACATCAGGGACTCCCCGGGGATGCAGCTTCACAGGCTCAGCCCGCCCTGGGCAGGTCTGCCTTTAACTGGGCATCGCTCTGAAGTTGTTAGGTGCCATCGAGTCGGTTCAGACTCATGGACCACAGAATGAAACTTACTAAGCCCGGTCCTGCAAGCTTAACCGTTAAGCTTGAGCCCATTGCTGCTACCACTGTGCCAATCCATTCAGTCCCCTTTTAGGCTGACCATCCACTTTATCGATTATGATGTCCTTCTCCAGAGACTCATCCCTCTGATAATATGTCCGAAATATGAGAGACGAAGAGGTCCATGAAATTGACCACACTCCTGGTGCAGTCTTTGATAATGTTGTTTTGGTGTCTAATGAGCCTTGTCCGTTTTGTCATTTAGTTGCTTAGAACACATCCAGAAACAACCGGTTCTGGCTTCTCGGTACTCCCCCACATACTCCCAGGCAGGATGGCCCGTCAAGGGTGCTTAGCCAGCCGGCAGGACAGACCCAGGTGCAGCCTCCAGAGTGGCCCTTGATTGATGCTCCCCTTCTTTATCTCTCCGCCCCCCTAACACCAAGCAGTGGATGAATGTTGAGAGCTGTGCAACAACAGCCTTTGGGACCAGCTCTCTTTCGCCGGCTGTGCATCCAAACCTCGCTCAGTGTACCCTCTGGCACCTGAGACTTTCCCCCACCCTCACCCCTTCTGAGTCACAAGGTCAACCAAAGCCTCTTGAGCCTCTACCCCTCCGGGCATCCCACTCAGAACTATACATACCACAAGGGATGTGGGGAAACTCGTTCAGTTGTACTCTATCCTATAGGGTTTGGATGAGTCAGAATCAACTTAATAGCACACAAAGACAATATGTTTAAGAGGGATAATGATCTATAGCTTTGTTTTCTCATTCTGTTTTTGTCTGGTTTAGGTATTAGGGTAATGCTGGGCTCAGAATGATTTGGGAAGTCTACAATTTCCTGGTAGAGTTTGTGTATAGTTGATATTTCTTCTGTAAATGGTAATCCATAGGACAGAGTACAACTGCTCCTTAGGGTTTCCCAGGCTGTAAATCTTCACTGAAGCGTTCTTCCAAGGAGTAAGCTAGTGGGTTTGAACTGCCGACCTTTCAGTTAAGCATTCCAAAATTTAACTTACTGCATCACCAGAGTGTCTTTGTTTCCTCTTACTGGAGAGTTTTTGAAAACTCTGGACCCTTTGCTCCTTGTCTCAGAAGTTTTAGGCCAGGCTTGGGGGCCACAGCAGTGGACAGTGGGCCTTTTCCTCTGAGCTGATTTAGCTGGTGGTGATAGGCTATCTGGGCTTTCTTTGTTTTCTATGCTTTCTTAGATCATTAGTGAACTCAGCCTTTTCTCCATGAGCAGGTACAGCTGTCTTCTTACCTCTGGTTGCTTACTAAGTGGAAACTAGGAATTAACCTTGGATTTGTAGCAAGGTTTGATAAATGGAGCAAAGCTGCTGTAATTTCCCTACATTTATCTATTACCTTTCATTTTGTCTCCAGGTTGTACCCACTGTATGTATGTATATGTATATGTTGTTGTTGTTAAGTACTGTGGAGTCAGTTCTGACTCATAGTGACCCTACACAGGGTTTCCAAGGCTGCAAATCTTTAGGGGAGCCGAAAGCCTCATCTATCTCCCACGGAACAGCTGGTCGTTTTGAATTGCCGACCTTGAGGTTAGCAGCCCGATTCTTAACCACTACGCTACCAGAGCTACCGCCGACCTTGCAGTTCAAACCGACTTTGCAGTTCAAACTGGCTTTGCAGTCCAGTGCATTAACCCAGGGGGTCCTGGTGTGGCGCTGTGGGTTAATGCACTGGACTGCAAAGCTGTTTGAACTGCAAGGTCAGTGGTTCAAGCTAAGCAGCTGCTCCTCAGAAACCCTATACAGTGTTGCTGTGGGTCAGAACTGATATGACAGCACTTAACAACAACAACATACATAGAGAGAGTTGTGGTGTGGCACTGTGGGTTAATACACTGAACTGCAAGGTCAGTGGTTCAATCTCATTAGTCTCTTCTCAGAAACCCTATACAGGACCACTATGAGTTGGAACCAACTCGATGGTATAAAACAACACCATATATATTGTCTACACTGTGTACACATTAACCAGGTACCAATTGCTCTCAAGTCAGTTATGACTCAGGGTAACTCCATGTGTGTCAGAGTAGAACTGTGTTCCATAGGGTCTTTGGTTTCTGATATTTTGGAAGTAAATTGTTTTCCAGACCTTTTTTCTGAGCCCTATCTGGCTACCTTCACTCAGCTGATTTTTCGGTTAGCAGTTGAGAGTATTAATTGGAGTCTCTTTTTTGTCCCTGTTTATGTAGGTGTCTTAAGGGTAGCTTTTGTTTTAAAACATGTTTCATAGTATAAAATCCTGTAGTGGGTACATAGAATGCCAAGAAAAAGGTAGTGGGGGCTATAGACACAGCACGTGCAAGGTGGCTAGCAGCAAGACCGCAGAGACCCTCCAGGGGACAGCTGTGAGTGGAGGCCTCTTTCCAGGAATAGAGGGTGGGTTCTGTGTTTTCTAACAGCTGGGGACCCTTTCTTCCTGGAGAGATCCAGCCACATGACATTTGTTTGTCTGGGGCTCTGGCATATGATCTTCCTTATCCTGTTTTTGATGGTGGTTTCCTTTCATCCTCTGATATGTTTCTCCTTTGTCCATCCCTGTCAGACTGCACAATTCTGCACAACTCTGTATCTGACAGTTTAGTAGGGACCAGGGGGTCATTGCCTGATGAGCCTCCTTTCTAAGCAGCATAGGCTCCTCAGTACTGAGCCTCTGTTGGATTTTTCTTGCATTTTTGTAAATCCCTTTGTCATCTGAGGTAGAGTCTCTGTCTTGCTCATTATGGCTGCATCCTCTTCATTTGAGTGATGGTGTTATCAGAGGTTCGCTTTTCCCATGGCTATGGGGTCTCCTTTGTTGGGGGTCTCACCACCTAGATAGGTGTTCAGGTCAGGAACCCAGCGGGTCTGGCATGGCATTCAACATCCATCCTTTGACCACCCAGGGTCTGAGCTCACTCTTCTGCTCTGGCTGCTGTGAGGGGGCTAGAAACTGTGGATGGTGGGGTGGAGGTAGACTCTTTTCCCCTCACTAACCTCTACTTTCCACCCATCCCACTGCCACTGAGTTGATGCCGACTCATAGCAATCCTGTAGGGCAGAGGAGAACTGTCCCCCATAGTGTTTCCAAGGCTGTCAATCTTTATGGAAGCAGACTGCCTCATCTTTCCCATGAGGAGTAGCTAGTAGATTCAGCCCACAGCACATTGCTTAGCCACTGCACCACCTTCTACCTTGCAAGTGACCCCTCTTTCCTCTTCCTTTTCCAGACTTTTGCCTGGGATGGAGGTCTCTGGACATCAGTGGGTTCCCCTGAATGATGATAGGACAGGGCACACCTAGAACTGTTTGCCTGAGGCCATCTGAGCCCAGAAACCTGGAGACTGCAGCCTCTTCCCAGCCTCTAGAGCTTCTGAACCTGGCCTGCAGCTACTGGCCTTTCCCCTCAACCCTAGTAGACTCCCTCCCTGGATGAGGTCCCCTGGGGACCTGTACTCTGTTACAGGCCATGCCCACCTGCCTCCCACCTGACTTCCCATCCTCCTCTGTGGCCTTGCTACTCATAGGGAGCTGCTGGGGTTTTGGCGGAGTAGGTGGGCACTCAGGCATGAGGCATGCCCTAGTCTATCCCCCACCCATATTGCCTGCTAAGAGGTTCTCACCCTCCCCCAGTACTCAAACAGACATTGAGGCAGAAGCATGAGGAAGCCCAGCAGACCTGCCGGCCCCACAACCTGCCCATACTCCAGGCAGCTCAGCAGCGCGAACTGGAGGTAAAGGATGCTGGGCCAGGGTGGAGGGACTTAGGGTGGCTGCACTGGGTGTGACTGGGCAGGCAGCACATGTGTCTTCACCGTAGGGGACAGCAGTCAGGTTCCCGGGGGGGGGGGGGGGGTTGGTCATGGGACAGGGTGGAGAGGAGGGCTTGTCTGTGATTCCCCACTTCCTGAGATAGTGGCTCCTGGAGTACTAAGACCTTGCACTGAGCAGGCACTGAGGAGCATCATATGGCAGGTACAGACCTCCATGCCCACCTCTCCAGTGGTCTCAGGGGTAAAAGCAAAAGAGGGGAGTGACAGGTCCAGCCAGGCAGGGGGCCCATTCCCCCAGCTGATTCCCAGTTGTCTCCGTCTGACCGTACCAAGCCCTGAGGTCACAGCTACTTCTGGGGAAAGCCAGGTCAGCCTGGGGACGAGTGTGCAAGTGTTGTCAGGAGGAGAGCAGGTGTTCCACAGAGATGTGTGTGAGGCAAAGCCCAGAGGAGAAGTCCCACCCAGTACAGGAAGGTCTCAAGCCATGTCAGTGTCAACACCTGGAGGCCACCTGGCCAGAGCCTCCAAGAGGGTAGTGGGTGGGGGTGGCCAGCTGCTGCCCAGCCCTTTCACTAGGTTCTATGTGACTAAGAAGAGAGAAGGCGGCTAGGGGTTGGTAATGGCAACATGTGTGGTCTCAGGGCTGATGTAATCAGAGGATGAAACCAGGGAGGAAGGTTGCAGGCCAGTAGCCTGTGCTGGCCACCTGGGGCTGAGTGCCCGAGAGCTGCCCTCAGCTACCCTGTCCATGGCAGGTAGTGGAACATCGAATCCGTGAGGAGCAGCGGACAATGGATGAGAAGATTGTCCTAGAACTGGACCGGAAAGTGGCAGACCAACAGAGCACTCTGGAGAAGGCGGGGGTTGCTGGGTTCTATGTCACCACCAACCCACAGGTAAGCACTCTGCTGACCCCAAAAACCCAATTCATCCATGGCTTTTCTACTGGTAGCTGAGGCTCCAGACCTTGGGGTATATGTGAGGGGATTGAAATATTCTAGAAAGGGACTCTGGCCCAGTCTTCACTCACTCCTCTTCTGAACAAACCTCCACATGTTGGGCCAGGGAAACTGTGGGCCCTGTGGTGGGGTGGAGCCCTGGTTCTGCCAGTTCACCCAGAAGTCAGCCTCATCTCACTTCCTGACACCCTTGAGGCCCCAATACCTGAGTCCTTGGGAAGCATTAGCCTCTGAGTCTGAGGCTGTGATCAAAGGGGTCCAGGGTTCCTCTGGCCCTCACACAGGACCCCCTCTGTTCTCTGTGCCCCAGGAGCTGACGCTGCAGATGAACCTGCTGGAACTAATCCGGAAGCTGCAGCAAAGGGGTGGCCAGGTGGGGAAGGCAGCCCTATGACCAGGTGGGGTCCTCACAAGTTTCCCATCATCAAGACTGTTGGGGAAGGCAACCCTGTCCCATGGTTGTCATGGGCAGCATCGAGCCAAGGGAACTATGTCTTCCTGTCTTTTAGTCACCTTCTGTCCAGCTTGGCTGTGCCTGCCACCCACCTTTGTCTGGGTTTTCTGTCTAAATGCTAAGGTGGTATAGTAAAAGGGAGGATAGCTATCTGCCCCAAGGCTGAGTGGAGAGTGGGGGTGGAGGTTCAAACCTTTCTCGCTCCACTGGACACCTCCAGACTTGGCTCAAACACCAGCCTTCACTCTTGGTCTGGTCTTGGCTCCTCCATCGGCAACTGCAACCCTGGGTGCCCCAAATAATAAAGCCTTCTTCTCAGTATGACCAGATTGAGTTTGGTGTGACAGCTCTGTGGCACCTGCCATGACCAAGGCCAGAAAGAGCCTGCGCCTGGTGGTTCTGTAGTCTACAGAGGAGCCAGCTGAGAATGGTGCTAGGTACACACTCCCCGTAAGTGTAGCCATGTTGCTGCAGAGGCTGCTTGCCTCTTCTTGCTAATGCACCTTTCTGTCTTGTCCCCCCTTTTCCACTGTGGCTAGGAGCCTCCCAGGTGTCCCACCCTGGCCCCCCATAGCACTGATATGCCGTTGTCCATACCCCACCTACTCTGTGTGGGACTGATGGACAGAGGTCAGGTGGTACAAGTAGAGTCTGACAGTAGCCCCAGGTCATTTGGTCGGTTTCTGGGACACTATGGCTACAGAGGTGAAAGGCATGGAGCCACAGAAAGGGTCTTGGGGAGAGAAAGCAGCCCAGTCTGTGGTCAGCTCCAGGGCCTTATCATGGGAGGCGCCCTGCTGTGGTCCTGGGTTCTATAGGGGCTAGGCCAGCATCTGGAAGTGCTCAGCACTGCAGACCAGGGAAATGTTGGCAGGCCCCACCCCACCCTCCTGCTGTCAGCCTGACCTCCAGAACAGACTGTACTTGGAGAAATGGAGCTTCTCAATGCCTAGCAGAGTGCCCCTCGAGGACACAGTTGCAGTCACAGCTCCAGGACCTGTGGTCTATTGACCAGAATGGCTACCTCAGGCCTGCCCACTGCCTAGCCCACAAGGCACAGGGTATGCAGGCCACAGCCTCACCCTGCCCACACTCATGTAGCCATGTCTCTGGGCAGGAGTAGCACACTAAGGGCAGCTCTGACCACCCTGCCCCACCTCCAGTAGGTCTCGAAGTCTTGGGTGTCCACAGAAGAGCTGGGGTTGGGGCACATGCATGTAGGGGAGAGTTGTAAGGAAAGCTGCAGCTGTATTGTCAGGTGTGGAGGCCAGTCCAGAGCCCCTCCCTGTAAACCACTGCCAAAACCCCAGTGAGTTGAGGCACAGCTGGTAGGGAGGAGTTTGGAAGGTACTGGCAGAGGCGGTGAGTGATGGGGCTCTAGGCTGGGTGGTAGAAGAGGCTACCCATGCACAGTCGCTCCCATTGGGCCCCTTCATGATGCTACTGTTCTCCAGGGTACAGTGAGACAGTCCTACTGGGCCATAGGGCATGTGCTTATAAATGGGGAAGTCCACCTAAGTAGAAAGATGAGACTTTCTACTCCTGAGATTTAAAGACTTGGAAACCCTATACAAGGTTGTTAAGAGTCGAAATCGACTCAACAGCACTAAACAACAGCAACAACACCATTAAAAGATGTGTTAAAAAAAAAAAAGAAAGTCATCTATTATTTCAAAAGAATTATACAATATTTGATGGCTCTATGATCTAATAATGGAGCTCTGGAAGCGTAGTGGTTATGAGTTGGGCTGCTAACCTCAAAGTCAGGTAGTTTGAAACTACCAGTGGTTCCACGGGAGAAAGATGAGGCTTTTTGCTCCCATAAAGATTTATAGCATCAGAAACCTTATACAGGGTCGCTGTGAGTCAGAACCGACTCCACGGCACATAACCACCACCACCACCATTGTGTTACTGCAGGATAATGCACTGTACTGTAAAGTCAGTTTGAACCGTAAGGTCGACAATTCAAACAAACCATTCGCTCCTCAGGAACCCTATACAGGGTCACTATTAGTTGGAACCAACTTGAGGCACTCAACAACAGCAACATGATCTAATAAACAGTATGCAAATTGAGGCAATGGTTCTCCTAAAAGAGGGGCTACACATGGCCTTCCCCAGGACTCACCTGCCAGCTCACAGGCCAGTCCTGTGAACTCATTCTCACTGATGGAGACACTCCTCTGGGAAGCAACAGAGAAGCAAACGCAGGGTAGAGACAGAGCAGCCACCCTCCCTGCCAGCATATCGGAGTTGTCCCTCCTCTCTCTTGATAGCAACAAATGGGCTATTGGATGGGATATGGGAGGAAAATGTACTTTTCACTGAGGACCTTCATGTAAGTCATACACTTGACACTCAGATCTTGTATTTATTGGTGTAGATGCTGTAGGATGAGCACTGGACTGCTAAATACAAGATCAGCAGTTAAAACCCACCATCTGCTCCTTGAAACCCCTATATAGACTCACTATGCGTCAGAACTGGCTCGATGGCACTAAACAATTACAAATGGGAATGATTAAAATGAGTTACAAAAATAATCCAACCATTGTCATCTAGTCAATTCTGACTCATGTTGATCTTGTATAGGATTTCTGAGGCTGTTAATCATTACTAGAGTAGGAGCAGCTGGTGAGTTTGAACTACTGACTTTGTGGTTAACAGTCTAGTGCTTATCCTACAAAGCCACCACAGAGCCACCAGGATTCATTGAAAATAAATATGAGTAACTGTCAGTGGATAATAATATACAAGCATGATTTTATTTGACAGCACAAATGTGTTAGAGTGAACTCTTTTTGCAACAGGAAATCTGAAACCTTGTATAATATTCTCTGTTCAGGTCTCCTTTGGATTTCCAGCCTTTCCCCATCTGGAATTGGCTAAGCTCCTTCCATTTCCAGACTCCTGCTCTTTATTCTTCTTTGCACTGAGATCCAAGCCCTGCTTTTTGCCTTATTCTAGTCTATACGGAACAATTTTATTCACCCCATTCCCACAGGTAGCACCTTCCTTATGTGGACTATGGTTGATGCACCCAGACACTGGTGAGTGCTCATTTACACACCTTGAATCTGAGACTTCCCCTTCACTGACATTTTAGCTTTATGATTAGATAGATTACCTATATATTCTGTGCTCAGCCCCCAAGTGTATCCAAAGAATTTGGAGAATGAATTTATATCAGACTGACAACAGATGCTGGGAAAGGCATGGCTTAGTGGTAGATGGATAAATATGATAGGGAACTACAAAATATTCATTCTTCATTATGTAAGAGAAACCTACCTAATCCTGATGATTAGGGTCAGTTGTTATGGTGACTCTACACTTTACCTGATGGTTTCTTGGAATGAGCGTTGTGAAGTAACCTAAATGGATCTAGACTAGAGTTTAATTGGACTTATTGTATCCACAGACTTGAAGCCTTTTATTACATGAAGTTGGATCTTTCAAATCACAAATACCAAATTTGGAAGGATTGAATACACAGGATTATTGGGAGTGATAAGAAGAGTCACTGTACTTGCTCCTTTTAGATCCTAGACCCACAAAGTATCCTGATATGAGATACAGTCTCATACAGTGATCTTAATTTAGGGTGCACACTGAACTCTTAAGGATGACAACTGAACCTTGCACAATATAACCATGGATCTGGTCAATTTGGCTTGCCCTTTATTCTTCATACCTATCAGCAATTGGATTTGAGCTTGCTGAAAGTAAATACTTACTGATGAAGATCAAAGACTACAGCCTTCGGTATGGATTACATCTCAATGTAAAGAAAACAAAAATCCTCACCACTGGACCAATAAACAACATTCTTATCAACGGAGAAAAAATTGCAATTGTCAAGGACTTCATTCTTCTTGGATCAACTATCAACACTCACAGAAGCAGCAGTCAAGAAATCAAACGACGTATTGCATTAGGCAAATCTGCTGCACAAGACCTTTTTAAAGTGTTGAAGATCAAAGATGTCAGCTGGAGGACTAAGGTGCGCCTGACCCAAGACATGGTATTTTCAGTAACCTCATTTGCATGTGAAAGCTGGACAGTGAATAGGGAAGACCAAAATAAAATGGAACAAATAAAAATAGATATCCTAGACAAAAGTGAGCTGAAATAGACGGGTATTGGCATTTTGAATTAATCATATTGTTGCCTATGCTGGGAATGATAAAAAGGAATGGTTTAGAGATGAGAACATGGAGAGAGAGAGCAGCTGAGGACAATAGACTCATAGAAAGAGAAAGGCTGTGTACTGGCAGCCAGGTGCTAGTGGCTAGGGGGCAGGCTTGCAGAATTAGTCCTTTGATTGTTTAAATGATTATATATTCCTGAGTGATTTTATGTACATCCCCCCAAAAAAACACGAAACAAAACAGAGGGAACAGAAGCAAATGCTGTTGAATGATGATGCACAGAGTAGATTGCAATCATTTCAATGAAATGATAAGTGATGTTCCTCCATGTAAACTAATCATTCAATTCACAATAATAATTTTTTTTTTTTTAAAAGGAATGATGTTGCATCCATCATCCAAAAGAGCATTTCAAGCTCTATCTCAAAGTTCAATGCTGTCTGTGACAGGATAATATTATATATTGTAAGAATATACAAGAAAAACAATACCACTATTATTTAAATTTATATACCAACCACTAAAGCCAGTGGTGATGAAATTGAACAATTTTACAGCCTTAGAAACCCTATACAGTGTCACTATGAGTCATAACTGACACGACAACACAGAATCACCATCATCAGCACCAACCTTTTCAGTCTGATATTGATCAAACATACAATCAAGAAACATTGATAATTCTAGTGATTGAAATGTGAAAGTTGGAAACAGAGTAAGAAGCAAAGAAAACAAAGTTGGGAAATAAGGACTTGGTGATAGAAGAGATGCTGGAAATTGCATGAT